TTTAGGACTGTGTGGAAGTAAACACTTGAGGTTTTTCTGGAGTTTGAGTTTGTTTTGGCGAAAATACAATCTTAAGTTGTAATAAAAAACGTTCTACCTTTTCTTGTTTAACAATTTTATAACACAGTCATAACAAAAGGACACACTCACATGAAGGATAGAACCTTCATTCATTCATTCGTTCAGTTCTGTGGAGCCTTATTCCAAAGAATTGACGGCCAAACAATTTATGAATGGGCCATGAACATAAACAGGTCCTTGTTCGCCTTTATTCTCTTCTTTGTATAATGTGTGTGTGATTATCCTTACAAAATATAAAATTTGTTGCTATTATTGGAATATTGTTTGATAATACAGCACTTGATGTGTGTGTGCCTGCGTTCGAACGTGTTTTTGCAAACAAGTATATAAATCCGTGTCCTTTTGTTGTGTGTTGTGAATACAAAAATCCTTAGCATCATATTACGCAAAATACCATTCCTCCATTCCACAACAAGGACCAACGACCGTTATGGGAATAAAAATCTCAACATCATTCATTAGTATTTTTTCGCCAAAAAAGAAGAAAGAATATAATCAGGATCAAAGGAACTTACACTCTATAAGTCGTTTAAAGCAAGTGATAATCGCTCTTTGAGAATATTCGAAAACACACAGAGTGAGATGGAGAGTTCGAACTATAGATTATGCCGCAAAATTCCCAATAATGTAACCGTAGACATTTACTTAGGTGGTCTGGCCTTTCTTTCTTCGCCCTGTCTGCAACATTGTGCTTATCATACCGGCCGACACGAAGGAACACAGATCCTTGGCTCCTTCTCTTTACCCTGCCCTACTATATATTTGTGCGTGTGAGTTTACTCTTCTTGGTGATATTTTTCGCCAGAAATTCTCCTTAATTGAAATTGAGATTTCAAGTGCAAACCTGTAATAGTTTAACAAGTTATCAATGAATGAAGGAGTCTTGCCGCCGCCGCCACTGTCAGCCGGAACAATGCCTTCAAAAAGGACTTCCGCAAAATTCCTAAGTACTCCATTGTTCGATTGGATGTAAACAACAAGTTGCATATATTTTCATGGGCGCGTTACTCTCCTTCGCATGGAATGTGGAATATATTGAGGGCGGCAAAAATCACAGACAAACACATTTTTTGTTTTGGGTTCGTTCAATAAGGAAAGCAGGGAAACAAATCCATTCATTCATTGTTCGAAGTCCTTTCATTGTGTAACTCACTCTCTACTATCGTCATAGTACGTGATTATGTATGACGACAACTATGCACTTTGTTGGTATGTTGACATTATTACCACCTACAGTGTTCCGAAAAGTATTTGCAAATTATTTTTTGGCAAGAGCGGTAGATGTTTTAAAGGCACTTCATTGGAAAATTAGAATTTCATTTTGTAAAATGCCGATACTAACTTCCTCATAAAAAGGTCACCAAGTATGAAAAGAACGGGGCAAATTTAAGATATTGGACAAATTAGACACAGTTTCTTTTTGAGAAGGTCTAAAAAGTGTAAAAATGTTCCAAATATATTTTTCAACAAATTTTCAACAAACTTTGATGAAACCGTCGACTTAAAAATTCAGTGTGGTTTTTAATAAATATGGTTTCAGCATAAATAGCTTCTAAGGAGAATATGCCAACAACAAATTAAGGGAACTGATGTGGATCAGTGGCGATACGGGAACTAAAGTCTTCCCTACCTTACCACTTGTCGGACAATGCCATACCTTTTTTAAATATTTTTTCATGACCCTTACCAAAGATAATTTTTTATATATATAGGATCATCAAAACGTGGATTTTTATAAATAATCTATCCAACGTCCTTTCAGAGCGTCGATTTTTATACCGTACAAAAAATATTGTAAGTTTGTAATATTGGTCCTAGACCCAAATTTTATTATAACGACCGTCTTATCTCGACTGAGTGAGTCGTTCCATTATTATTTGTAAACACGATACAAGTCACAGATATGAACCTAACGCCACGACGGGTTCAGGCTAAAGAAGACTCCTATTGTTTTTTGTAATGATCGGTTAATATTAAGGGAATGAAATGGATCAAAGGAGGAGGAGCTGTTGAAATATTATGTAGGCACGGAATATAGATCCATAAAAACTTGCAGCTTAGAGGAAGTTGTGTAGGGTATTCATATGGTCGGCCACCACGTACGATTTACTGCTCCGTTCACTTGTTTTTTATGTTATTCAGCTACCTTTACACAAACTTTACATCTCGACAATCCTGGATTTTTTTAAATATTTTTCAATAGTTATACATGCCTGGATTTTTTCTAAATATTTTTCCACAAGCCCTTCTTATTCGTGGGTTTTTATTAAAATTATTCCAAGCATCGGTTTCGGTTTTATCGGTTTTAAACCTGAAGAGTCTTGGGGCCCAATATGTTTTAGACAATTTAGTGTCGAGGTTTCACATATAATTTCGTCCAATATGATGTGATTATGGCATCACAAAACCTATGTTACTCCGATTAACACAACATTTGCATAGGCTATTTCTAATACAAAGCCTTTTTTATTTTTAATCAATTGTTGTAAATTTTTATTATTTTAGATTCGAAATCTTGCCTTAAGATTCAATAACCTGTTCAATAAACCATTTAACCTCATTAATATCTGTATAAATTCCTGGAGCCTGACGATGACCACAACCTAAACTCCACGACACAATACCACATAGTTCTCCTGCAAAAACGGCCGGTCCACCAGAATCTGAAGTACAAGCATCCTTATTGTCGTCATAGGCACACATCATTGAATTGGTGAGATTTTCCCCAAGGCGTTTATAACGCAGTACACATTCTGCACGAGGCAACAACGGTACACGTACAGTGCGTAAATTCTTTGATATTTCACCTTGTTCTGTAACACGACCCCATCCGGAAATTTGTAAAAGATTACCAGGTTCTAATGGTTCGCTACAGAGGGCTATTGGTTTAATCGCTCTTCCCCGGAGTTCGGAAGTCAGTTTGAGAACGGCCACATCCATATCAATGGTATCGACATCATATTCGGCTGGCATGAAACCATCTTCAACTTGGCTTTGCACACCTTCATCTGTGAGAGATGTGGCTCCAGCAACCACTGTTATATCTGCCAGGGCATATCCCTCTAGGCAGTGGGCTGCAGTGACCACATGTCGGGATGTTATCAATGCTCCACCACAAAAGAAACCATCTTTGCTATGACGCAGTTGTACAATATATGGGGCCTTATCAACGGTTATTTCCTCACCACCCAATATGCGGGATTGTGCGGAAACTGTTGCCACAATGACCAACAGCAAAATTGAAAATATTTCTAATATTTGTGTTAACATTTTGCAGGGGTTTGTTAGAGTCGCAACTAATGTTTATGTTTTCATATGTTGGGTATTTATTAGAATTTGAAATAAAAAACAATTTGAAGTTGACACTTGTGCAAATAAAAATAAATTTGAATCCAACAATTAAAGTTGAAGATAATACAAAAAAACTGACTTCTTTGTGAATTGTTTTCAACATTTTGCAATAACATCACAAGTCCCAATGTGTGTGTATTGGGTGATAAAGAGGTTCATAGACGAGCTGAATAGAATCTTATTTCGACGAGCCGAAAGGAGTCAAACTGAGAGGAGTCATTGTAGATGAACTGAAGAGAGACTTTTTGGACGAACTGAAGGGAGGCTTTAATGGACGGACTGAAAAATACCTTTCATAGAAGAGCTGAGTTTTTCATAGACTGGCTGTTTTAAGGGGAGTCTTTCATAGATTGACTGAAGAGTCAAGCTGAGATGAGTAGTTTTTGACTAAATGAAAATAGTAATTTTAGACGATTTGAATTAAAGTATTTGTAGGCCGGCTGAAGTAGGGAGTCTTTGTAGACGAGCTGAAGGGCGTCTTTCATAACTGAAGGGAGTCTTTCCTACACGAGCTGAAGTGAGACTTTATAGAGGAGCTGAAGGGAGTCTTTCATAGACGAGCTGAAATGAGACTTTATAGAGGAGCTGAAATGAGACTTTATAGAGGAGCTGATGGGAGTCTTTCATAGACGAGCTGAAGGGAGTCTTTCATAGACAAGCTGAAGGGAGTCTTTCATAGACGAGCTGAAAGGAGTCTTTCATAGACGAGCTGAAGGGAGTCTTTCATAGACGAGCTGAAGGGAGTCTTTCATAGACGAGCTGAAGGGAGTCTTTCATAGACGAGCTGAAGGGAGTCTTTCATAGACGAGCTGAAGGGAGTCTTTCATAGACGAGCTGAAGGGAGTCTTTCATAGACGAGCTGAAGGGAGTCTTTCATAGACGAGCTGAAGGGAGTCTTTCATAGACGAGCTGAAGGGAGTCTTTCATAGACGAGCTGAAGGGAGTCTTTCATAGACGAGCTGAAGGGAGTCTTTCATAGACGAGCTGAAGGGAGTCTTTCATAGACGAGCTGAAGGGAGTCTTTCATAGACGAGCTGAAGGGAGTTTTTCATAGACGAGCTGAAGGGAGTCTTTTGTAGACGAGCTGAAGGGAGTCTTTCATAGACGAGCTGAAGGGAGTCTTTCATAGACGAGCTGAAGGGAGTTTTTCATAGACGAGCTGATGGGAGTCTTTCATAGAAGAGCTGAAGGGAGTATTTTATAGACGAACTGAGAGTAGTCTTTTGTAGACGAGTTGTAGGAAACATATCACATTCGAACTGAAGGAAACTATTTCAAGATAATCTATAATAGACTGAATGGAGTCTTTCAAAGAAGAATTGAAGGGTTTCCTTACAGTCCAATTTATGAAGTACTATATACAAAGTTTTTATCAATTTTTGTCTCGATTTCGAAAGTTGATTTGTTTATGATATTTTGAAATAAAAAACAAAAGTTATTTAATATCATGCATAAACAAATAATTGTTCAAGTGTTTGGAAATATCGGGAAAACCCTGTATGTACCTAATGTGTGGTTATATCCTATATAAACCTCAGCAAGGTATTCACATATCATAATTTGCAAAAATGTTGCGAATCTTTATGATGTGTAGCTGCATTGCAGCCTTGACTGTGGCTCAAGATTCCCGTATTATCAACGGAGATGTAATAAACATTGCCTACGCTCCCTACACCATGCAATTGAGGACCCAGCGAGATATAACTGTGTGTGGCAGTACCTTGATAGCTAAACGTTATGTCGTAACGGCAGCTCACTGCATGGACAAGATGAAACCTGAAGAATTTATTGTCGTTGGTGGTGCCAGCACCGTCGATGAACCGGGAGTACGTCGTAAAGTTGTCAAAGGTTTTATACATCCTGGCTATCGCATGTTGAACAAAGATCGTGATATAGCTGTTCTCAAATTAGACAAAGATATGGTGGGCAAAAATATCCGACCTATCGAGTTGTGTTCCGGAGCGTTAAAGGCCGGTGATATTATTCAAGTTTCTGGTTGGGGTCGTACACAGGAGAAAGGATTTTCTTCTGATGAATTGCGGACGATTTTATGCCCATTCTGGATAAGCAGGAATGTTTGAAAATGTATAAAAAAGTTTCGGTAAAAATCTCGGATTCTGTTGTCTGTGCCTATGATGGAGGTAAAAGGGATTCTTGTCGTGGTGACTCAGGTGGTCCGGGAGTTTATGGTGGTGAATTGTGTGCCGTGGTGTCGTGGGGTATGGGTTGTGGCCGTGCTGAATATCCTGGTCTTTATACCAGTATTGATGTTGTACGCGACTTTATTGAAGATTGTATGAGAGAGTAGAGGAGGAGATGAAAATAAATAAAAAATAAAGACACACAGATTCTTTGGTAATTAAATTAATTTCTAAATTATCAAAAAAGGAGGTAAGAAGTAATTCCTAACATCTCCTTCGGACGAAGAGAAGGAGAGGAGAAGCAAGAATCTTGTGAAAGAGGGGGCGAAGGGAGTTTTTAACGACGAGCTGCGGGGAGTCTTTCATGGACGGGACGAAGGGAGTCTTTCATAGACGAAGCAAGGAAGGACGACCTAAGTTCTTTAGAGACGAGCTGAGACGTGTCTTTAGAGATGAACTGGAATGAGTCTTTACAATCTGAATGAAGTATTTTATAGACGCTCCAAAGCAGGGAGACTTATTATAGACGACCTGAAGCAGGGAGTCTTTCATAGACGAGCTGAAGCTTGGAGTCTTCCATAGACCAGCCAAAGCGAATCTTTCAGAGATAAGCTGAAGTGTGTAGTTCATAGGGGAGCTTAAGGGAGTCTTTCATAGACGAGTTGAAGGAAGTCTTTCATAGGCGAGCTGAAGGGAGTCTTTCATAGGCGAACTGAAGGGAGTCTTTCAGAGATGAGCTGATGGGAGTTTTTCAGAGATGATCTGAAGGGAGTTTCTCATAAAAGAGCTGAAGGTGGTCTTTCATAGACAAGTTGAAGAGTCTTTCATAGACTAGCGGAAGGAACTTCTTCATAGGCCTGAATCAGGGAGTCTTTCACAGACAAGCTGGTCATTAGTATCAGTCTGTCATAATCGTCCCGAAACAGGGAGGCTTTCAAAGAAGATTTGAAGCAGGGAATCCTTAAAGACTTTATAGTCGATCTGGGGAGAGTGTTTATGTACGAATGATCTTTATATGGGCCTTCAGATTATAGGCAATCTGAAGAAAGTCCCAATAGATAAGACGAAGGAAATGTTTCATAGAGGGAGAGAATCTGTTCTTGAGGAAGAATTTTTGAGGTTATGAAACTTCGGCGTTTATTTCGAAATCAAAAATACAATTACTTCTGAAAGGCATTATGCCGTATTAAACCGGAGATGGATCATGACACTTATGATGGGCTTTATTTATGTTCAGGATTTATAGAATTCAAAATTGTCAATATAAAAATAAAACAAACAATTAAAACCTGAAAATGGAATATTTATATTTTATTTTCTCAAACAGTCTTCAATAAAATCACGAACAGGATCAATTCGAACATAGACACCAGGATATTCCAAACTACCACAACCACGGCCCCATGAAATCACAGCACACAATTGACCATTGAAAACCGCTGGACCACCTGAATCACCCTGGCAGGCATCCTCACCATTCGCACCATGGGCACATAACATTTCATCGGAAATTTTCTCCACGTCGGATTCTTCTTCATCATAAATGGCAGCACATTTTACATCCGATAGAATAGGTATAGACACACTCTGCAATGTTTCAGAAGATGGTGCCAAATCATCATCAACTTGTTTACCCCAACCAGAAATTTGCAGCATATCACCTTCCTCGAAATCGGTATCCTCATCACACAGTTCGATGGCATCAACATTTTCACCAAATATTGGACGATTTAATTTCAAAACAGCAACATCATAATTTGCATATCCAGTCTCATAGAGGGGATGTATGAACAGACGTTTGATATTCACAACAACATTTTGTTCTTTTGTAGTTGTGGTCCCAGCAACGACTTTAAAATGGCCAATGCCGTATTTTTCAAAACAATGAGCCGCCGTTACCACAAATTGTGGGGCTATTAGAGTTCCACCGCACGCATGCTTGTCATTACGTTCTCTGATTTGAACAATATAGGGGGCTTGATCAATGGTTATACTGGCATTTTGATTTCCCGGTATTATAGCCCTTACTGGTAGAAAAATACTGCAGATAATGACTGCACAGATCTGCAAAATTACTGAGTTTGCTTTAACGTAGAACATTATAGGTCGTTTGGGAATAACTGACTTTCTTAGTTTTTAGACAAGTGGTTTTATTATATTTGGTTGATTATATTTTGCGGCGTATGGCTCTATTGAATTCATATTAAATCAAAAACAAATATTTGCCTATTAAATATTATTTAAAATAAATAACAGCAACTTCGGACCAACAATAATCGAAAGCTAAATAAATACCAGATCCGATCTATCAGTTGAAAAACATGCATTTTGAATCATATTGTAAATTTCGGCTTTATAATTCATATGGAATTAAATAACAACAATATGCAACAAAGGGAATGAAAAATTATTTAGAAGAAATTGAAGAGTAATAAAAGAGAATCCAGAAAGAAAAATGGGATCAAGTCCATTTTATGTAATGTTTATTTTTGCAGGTCACTGTTAATTGTTAGTTATGACTTATCTTTAGTCAATAGAGCCTCTGAAAAATATTATTCCTCCTACTATAAAAAAGCAAGGAAAAAGAAAAACCACCTAATGTTCACGGCCCCTGCAAACGTATAAAGGACCACGATCTGCGAATCTGCATTTGGAATGTGCGCACATTATACAGAACCCGGTCGTTGTACTCAAAGCCGATATTATTGCCTTACAGGAAATTCGATGGAAAGGGACCGGTGTAAGTAAATCAGACGATTCATCACGATTCGGCAAGGATGAACAGACCAAAAACATATTTGAAGAGCGCCCAGATACACCATATGACTGATGCCGTGGCCATGTCATTTAAATTCAGCTGGAAGTTTTTAATGCAAAGATCGGAAGGGAAAATATCTTTGTTCGAAGAAACATGAGACAACGGCATTAGGTTGATTGACTACGCCGCAGCAAAAAACATGATAGTTAGTAGCACCATATTCAAGCATCTCGATATGCACAATGTCTTGTCTCCCGATAAAACAAAGAGAAATCAAATTGAACATGTTGTGGTAGACGGAATCCATTCATCCAGTGTTTCAGACGTTCGACCGATCTGGAGAGCGAATATCGATTCGGACCTTTACCTTGTCTCAGCCAAGGTCCACACTCGTCTTAATGTAGCAGCAAAGGTGCGATATAACACAACACGGAAACTCGGCGTCGAAAAACTGCAAAAACAACAGATAGCAGAAGCCTACTCGGCTCAACTTACCCACCTGTTTGACGAAAGCACTCCATGTCCCGATAATAATATAGAAGCACAATGGACCAAACAGCAACAATTGGATACCAAAGACCCATGATACGATCAGGAGTGTCGTAATGCTTCTATGATGAAAAACGCAGCGTATAGATCAACTCTGCAACACGCATTGCGAGAGAGAATAAGAGATGACGGCCAAGATGAGGTCAGAGTAGCAATTAATCGGCTGAAGAACAATAAAGCAGCGGGTGCCGATGGATTACCAGCCGAAATATTCAAGACCGGTGGTTAGGTGCTGGTCAAGACATGTACCAATTGATTAGTCCAATTTAGCTAGAGGAATGTATATCAATGATTGGAAACTCAGCTTCCTGTGCCCCGTACACAAAAAAGGAGACAAAACGATATTTGCCAACTATATAGAAATTAGTCTCATTTCCATCGCATATAAAGTGCTATCCAGCATGGTTTGAGAACGACTGAAGTCAATGGTCAATGACATTATTGGAGCATACCAATGCAGCTTCAGACCTGCCAAATCCACCATTGACCAGATTTTCATTCTACGCCAGATCCTGGAAAAGACCCACGAAAATCGCATCGACACATTCTACCCCACCTATTCGTCGACTATAACACCGCATCCGACAGCACTATCCTTTCAGAGGTGTTTAAAGCCATATCTGCGTTCGGCATTTCTGCAAACTTAATACTGCTATGCAGGATAACTTTAAGTGCCACAAAGTAATCAGTTAAAGTCGGAAAGGACCTCTCGGAGCCCTTCAATACTTTCAATAAATTGGATGAGATGCGCACAAGACCGACGCGCTTGGAAATCTTTTTTAAGCTCGGCTTATGGAAGAAGCGCTCTGTCACAGCTAAGTAATATTTTATATAGTTTTATACATAGTGGAGAGTAAATAGCCATATCACGGTGTGACAGGACACATTAGTTGAAAAAATTTTAAGGAGTAGTTAACAAAAATTAATTAGACACACATGTCCATCAACTAATAAAAACCGAAAATTATAATTTTTTTCCAAATTATGGGCTTATCCCCCAATACTTTATGACTTTCCCATGCTAGATTATGTGTTTAGAAATTAAATTTAACAACTCATCAATAATTTTTTATGAAGACTATGAAAAAAAAACGATTCCCCCCATACAGAAGTTTTATTGGAAATTTTAACTTCGAACCCATAATCAAATCCCCAAGTAGACAAAAATACAAAAAAAAAGGAATGGAATCCACTCTCAAGTGAAAGAAGTTAATTTTCTTGAATGACTCTAATCACAAATTCAAGGAATTGCACCCAACAATATTTTCTTCTTTGCATTCGTTTGGATCTTTTTTGTGAGCGCTACTGTGATTGATAAATCGTTTGGTAATAACTGGAATTGAAGATGATGTGGCGTATTTCGTGGCGCGCAAAGCAATTCCTTTTATTATGGATTTTTTGGGATTTGGGACTCGATTCCCTTTACCTTATTAGAATGCCGAGGAGCATGCGCGCCAGGATGCACTTGACTAATGCATGATGGAGGGATAGAGAGAGGAGTACCTTTAATGTGTATGACGGTGTGCCGCCCAGTCTTTTTTCTTGGTTGTCGATTACTTGCTTCTAACACAAACAATGATGTGGCTGAGTGCCAGAGGAGGCTTCTGAGCGGGGGGTTTTTCATTTTATTTCAACAAGTGTTTGATTGTATTTTCCCAAAGTGGAATTCGATTGTTTTTGTAAGGAGTTCTAAAAAGGAATAATTGTTGTTGCTTTAGCACTTATCCTCACTTATTTTTGTTGTCTTTGTCGCCATAAAAAACAACAAAAATCAAGAAGGTATTACAATCAAAATCGAATTTTGATTAAAGAAATATATGATCTTTTCTCAGTGGGTCGCGATGTCTCTCAAGCACTTTT